TAGCTAATATCACCTGTTACTTTTATCAGTGAACTCGTGCTTCATGACGTGTCCTAAAGGAAAGTGAAATCAGCAGGACTGGGAAGCATTTGTGCAGGGTGTCCAGAACTTTCTTGCCAATCAGAGAGCAGAGAATTGTGCTGAGCTTGTGTATAACATGCTGGAAGCAGTTCAGCTCATGAGTACCAGAATGTCAGTGGAGATGCACGTTTACATTTCTCATCTCAACCAAATCACGGAGATGTCATCGATGAGCATGGGGACATATGTCATCAGTGATGAGAAACCGACATCAGGGAACTTTTAATTTGAGCGTGATGGGAAAATACTGTTGCGTGTCCCTCAAACATCTTTTCTTTAGAGCTTAAGTGGCAGGAATGTGCTCTAACGCCGAATAGAAACATCAAAACTAACATTCTGGGAGAAGGAAAAAGGATCGATTGGATAGTTTGGTGATGTTCATCTCAAAAACGTGACGAGCAAATGTGAGTCGGTCTGCTTTCATTAGCTGAAATGTTTCGATCCGATGGATCTGGGGTGAGTGCTCCGGAAAAAGCCGAGGTCTTACGACGGCTCGCGAACACTGGTGTCTTAGCAACCAGTGTGTTTGAAATCTTAGTTTCCGATAAGAGCAAATCCTCAGCTAAATTGTAGCCACCGCTGAGCCAAAATGCTTAAAAATGAACTACTTTCAGAGCGCCTCGCCAGAGCCAGTCTGGAGAAGCGTCGCAACATAGAGACTGAAAGAAAAGAAAGGATTTTTAATGACAAGCTGAGGACGATCGGGGTGCGTGTTTGAGGCTCTGCTGTGGGTCTGAATTAAACAGAAGTGGAAAGTCCGCGGCAGAGGAGCTTAACGCACTGTGTTTGTCTCTAAATGACTGTTCTACAGGTTGACAAGGAAGCCCTAGATGAGCAGGTGAGAGAGAAAAGGGAACAAGTAGAAGCTGCAAAAAAGGAACAAAACGCTTATGGTGAGTTACTTCAAATTTGTTTCCTGATGTGATGTCGTTCAATCCTTCATTAAAGTGAACTGTGATGTCTGTCATGTGATCGTCATGCAGATGCTGATATGCTCCGTTATGGCAAAGTAGCTTGCATTGTCGACAGCCGCCAAATGAAGGAGAAGCGTGCACTGGAAAAAGCCGTTGTCGCCTACAGGCAGCAATACCAGCATCCTGAAGATCGGCGAGAGTATGATTTGAATGATCCCAGCCGTATTAAAAAAGTAGAGCAGAGTGATGCACAGATGATGCCTCCTGGCCTGGTGGGTGAAGACCCAGAAAGTAAGATCAGGCAGCAGAACCAGAGGGAACAGCTCAGAGAGTGGCTCACCCAGCAGCAGACTGAGCAGGCAGCGGAAAGGCATCAACAAGAGCTGGAAGGTGGGTTTTGCCTTAAAACCATGCTTGATACACATGCTCAGTTCAAACACAAAAGTCAAGCTCACGTCATAGTCTCTACTGAAATTTTTAGAGCAGCGTTATGACCAAAGCAGAGTAGAAATGGACAACAGAGCTGTGCAACTTCAGAGCCTTGAGATAGAAAGGAGAAAGGCAGCTGCCATCGCCACTAAAGGCTTCAATCGGTCTATGGTGAGTCAGAGGAATTTAACTGCATTAAACGCTGCTATAGGCTTCAATAAACATTTTTTATTTCCACCTTGTTACTCATGTGTCTCCACGGGCAAAGGCTGAAGAAAAGCGCTGTCAAGACAAAGAAATCAATGGCAGCCAGTTTCAAGGTACCCCGAGTACGGTGGCCGTGCCCGGCCTGAGTCCCAGCAGTGACAGGAGAACAGCTCCTGAGAGCCTGCAGCAGATCATTCAAATCCAGAAACATCAAATGGAGGAGAAGAGGGTAAAAAAAAAAAAAATACATGTTTGCACTCAAAGTGTGGATTATTTAAAAGGTAGCCCATATTAAGCATTTTTCTCCTAATGTGTGTGTTGTCTGTGCATGTAAAGAGAAAAGAACTGGAGAAGAAACATGAAGAAGAGCGGCACGATCGCGTGCGCCTGAACTCAGCTCGTACCACTCTGCTTATTGAGCGGCAGCAGGCACGAATGAACAGGCAGCTGAGGCGAGACCTGGACAGCGCCAACGCCCAACTGGCCGAAACACACAAACAACAGTAAGTAACTTTTGAGCAAAATTGTTTTTATTAAATTTAACAGTGTACACTGTCTCGCTGTTTTTAACAACACTTCATTTTTAAGGAAACCAGACATTAAAAGAGGATGTATTGATGACAGCTTCTTCTCCAAGTTCAACACCTGCAGCAGATGAGGGGTGATGCACCGCTCTGATACCAGTGATGGTGTTACATAAAAAGAACAATGAATAACCAGCTGCTTTTATGTGAAATGTAGTTCAGAACATTCATGTTTGCATGATTTGAAAACTATTAATTAAATTTCAGGTACTGCTTTAAAAAGTAGCCTCTGAAAGATGATTACTTTTTGTGTTTCAAGTCTTTCGCGCAGTTTTGCCTGCATAAGCAAATATTAATTACTAGTCAGTTGAAGGCGTAAGTGTTAAAATTACATTCAAGTAAAAAGTCTTACAGATGTTGTTTTTTTTAAAAATGCTGTCTTTAAAGGAAAATGTTCCATAGGTCACATGATTTAAAACGCACACACAAAAAAGCTACCTGTCACGCTTATGCAACATGCGAGAGAACCACAGAGAGTAAAACAGCAGTTAACAGCTCAATCACTTAAAGCTGTGTGACACCGTTACTGTATTTAACATGGCATTGTGAGTCTGTTCTACCTTTTTTTAAAGGCTTTTTTCCCCCACAGTAGCCGACATGTTATGACACATTATTTCATTCATTACAAAACATTGTGGGCAACAACACTATATTTGTGCCGACCACAAACCTGCTCAGTGGCTGTTTCAGCAGTTTTTGACATTTACACTCATGATTCAGCTTCGACTGTCCTACAAAAGGCCCCTTTCACAGCAGAAAGGACTGCTTGTATCATTGTTTGTCGTTTTCAAATGCAAGTTTACTACTAAAAGGCATTTTCAGAGACAAACTTATCCCATCTTCTCTGCCACAGAGACAGCGCTTTCTCCTTTTGCTCGGGACTCAAAGAACTATACCTGAAACACAGACACGGGAACATCAGTCACCCAAAAGCATGCTAGCGCACACAATGCAACTACAAGTCACATCTTAGCAGAGCTTCACCTGATAGAGTTTATGGCCAGCTGTTTAAGGGAGCCTACATGGGACCGCATGCCCCCCAAACCAACGAAAGCTTCATAGAAGTCATAAGAGAGGCCAAATGCACCAAATATGGCGGGGTCATCAGAGCTGATGACAACCGGGTGGTTTTCAGACATTAGTGCAGCAGCTGGATGGTTTCGCAAGTCTTTGACCAACTTCAACACCTGGGTAAGGGTATGTGGAAGGAGAAGATGAGACAAAGGGTTTTAATCTACTCGCACTACAAACAGGAAAACATTACCATCCATGTACAGCAGGGGTGGGCAACTCCAGGCCTCGAGGGCTGGTGTCCCTGCAGGTTTTAGATGTGTCCTTGAACCAACACAGCTGATTTAAATGGCTAAATTAGCTCCTTAACATGTCCTGAAGTTCTCCAGAGGCCTGGTAACGAACTAATCATGTGATTCAGGTGTGTTGACCCAAGGTGAGATCTAAAACCTGCAGGACACCGGCCCTCGGGGCCTGGAACTGCCCACCCCTGATGTACAGTATAGTGGCAGATAGCAGTGTACCTGGTTGGAGATGGGGCACACCTCCACAGCAACCCCATATTTTCTAGACCACTCTTTGGCGACTGGATGGCGCGTTAGTGCAAATCCATGTCCAATGCGTGACGTATTAAAGAGAAGAGCATCCAATATGTTCTGATCTACTTCCGTACCCTGAGAATCTGCACACAGTAAAGACAAAGAAAATGAATGACTTACAAATACTCTTTTGCACTCTCTGGATTAAACATATAGTAAAGTTCACATTTGTGCAGTTTTACATATGGGGGTTAAAAACAAACTTGTGATTGTTATACTGGTACACTGGAATCATGATGAATTCTCACTTGTCTCTCCAGCATGGAAAAAGAAAGGAAGTGGGACCCCTCTCTCTACAGGGAGCGACAAGGCATCTCTGTAATACCACAGGGGTCTCCCGCCATCCTCCCAACCCACCTGTAACGCAAACACAAGTTTTCGTGTGTTCTTGTTTTCAACATATATAGAAGCCATGACACCATTTCAGTCCATTTGGGATCTTCCAGCATGTTTTGTTTTCAATGATTTCAAACTGTAAAAGTGTTTCTTACCAGATCAAAACCAGCCATGAAATCAGGAAAGTCTCTGTACAGCTCCATAGCCTGCTCCACAACTTTAAGCATTGTGTTAGTGTTTATTGTCCTGAAATACACAGGAACAGAATACTTTATCAATTCCAGTTGCTCCAAGACGGTAAGAACAGTAACTAACTAAATTAAATAAGTTACAAAATATAACAAAATAGCTCCAATAGTTACAACCCAATCGCTTCCGTTTATCCTTTTTTGTCAGGGTCGCGGGGGGCGCTGGAGCCTATCCCAGCTGTCATAGGGCGGGTACACTCTGGACAGGTCGCCAGTCTGTCGCAGGGCCAACACACAGGGACAGACAACCATTCACACTCACATTCACTCGCACATTCACACCTAGTGGCAATTTGGATTATCCAATTGACCTATCCCCACAAGCTGCATGTCTTTGGACGGTGGGAGGAAGCCGGAGTACCCGGAGGGAACCCACGGGGAGAACATGCAAACTCCACACAGAAAGACCCCGGCCTGATGGTGGAATTGAACTCAGGACCTTCTTGCTGTGCGGCAACAGTGCTAACCACCGTGCCACCCCAGTTACAAATACCTCTAATTATTATAGGCAGAATTGATCAGTGATTAAATCCGCATTTTATCTGTCAGAAGCAGTGTGGAATTATAAATAAATAGTACTGACTAATTTTTAAAAGCACTCAGAGCAGCAACCTTTTGGCGGTAAAGATGATTCTCACGCCAACAAAGTCAGGATGGTTTGCTACAAACTGCCTTGAGATGTCCTGGCAGGTCTTCAAAATCCAGGCCTTGTCATAAGTGCGGCCATCCAAATCATATATCTAAATATAACAAAGAAGAAGAAATTAACACGTGTGAATCCATTGGGTACATCAGACACACAGGGAAATCAGTATATATAGAGTATAGTTAGAATGTAAGTATTAAAATACCTTTGGAAGTATAGCGCGAAGTTCAAGATACATAACATTGTCCATGTAGAACTGGCTGAGGCCCTGGTAGAAATAGTCTTTGAACACAGGAGCATAAGTAACCAGACCATACGCTGCCTGGAAGGTCTCTTCAAATATACTCCACACCACAGTCTGAGTGGGGTACACTGCCTCTGGATCCTTATCAGTGAAGAGCGTCAGGTTGCCCATGATGCTAAGACCAAGTATGCAGATATGGTTGTGATAAGACCAACAACTGGCTTATACTCCATACATCAAACATGCACAAAACATTATATTGTTAACATTTTCCTGAGGTTGAAGTTAAAACTATGCAGGATTATTATTAACTCTTTGAAAAACAACAATCACTACATTGTCAAATTAAACCGTCCTACCTTTCATAATAGCCGGGCTGTTTATGATTACAATAACAGACTTCATTCCCTTTAATGAGACTTCACCTTGTTCCTAATAGTTTCAGTTAACTGATAATATCCGGATGTAATATTTCACAGATTTAAAGCCACTTAGTTGTGCCAATAAAATACAAATACAAGAAGGACAAATTGATACTGTTACCTATTAATTTTAGGAGGCCAGAGGTCAAAAATCAGAGGTGCACTCGAGGCCATGTGTTACGGGGGTGCTCTCACACATGGTCTCAGCATTGACAGGAAAATGTATGGAAATGCAGAGAAAACTAAATACACCAACAAGAAGCCTCACAGAAGATTAAAGAACTCGGTGGGACGATTGCATAAAAGTTACGCAAGAGTGTTTCTGTGTCTACTGTCTCTGTCTAAATTATTATTTTTTGCAACACAGACAAGATCACCTGTTGTCGAGATCTGTGGTGTTCACGGTCTTGGCCCTGAGGCTTTCCAGCAGGGACCAAGAAGAGCAATATGGCAGAGGCTTCGGTTGCTGAGACGAGAAGGTGAATCTGACGGACCGGCTAGTAAAGCAAATATAGCAATGTGGCCGATAGCTCGCGTTCTTCACCAGCCATTCTACATCTACCATGGAGAAGTCATGGAGATGTAGAGCTCCACCTGAAACCGTGAATAATAAAATTATAATGAAATAAAAACTGATACTCTGCATAAATATTTTGCAACATTTCCTAAATGAGAATTTTGTTATTTTCCAATATCTTTTGGGAATACAATATTATTGTGTCAAAATTAGGTTCTATCCATGTTTCTGTCAGTAGCTACCTTTAGGCATTTTCTGCAGCAGCTTGAAGATGGGACTGTTCCTGATGAGTTCCCTGGCTTTGAAGAAGTGCATAGCAGGAGGGAATTCCTCTCTTTCCATCTCGTCTTGTTTCATTTTTAACAGGCGAGCATTCAGACGCTGTTCGGCGTCAGTCAACACCTGCTGCCCACCTGTCTGCATGGAGGACTCCTGCTTTATTAGAGCCTCTCTCTGCTTGGGGTCCGGGATGGACATGCCACCGGTCAAGTAGAGTATCGACAAACAGAGCACAGCCGCGTGGGGTCGCTGTAGCAGGGCTGCCATTTTAGGTAGAGAAGGTGGGAGCTGGTTTAAGACAGAAAACGAGTTAAAGCAAACTGCACTGAGAAAGCACGGCAGCCTCTTTGCGGAACAGAAAACAGTTGTTCTGGGGTAAAAATAAAACGCCAACCTATAACACCGGCGAAACAGAGAAAACAACCAGGTGCCGCTTCCTCAGCGGTTATTTCCCTTACAAAATTTATCGTAATCAGAATTACTTTGTAGAAGACAAATTCACAACTTATCACAGCAGACTAAACACAGGAAAAGAAACAGGGGCCATCGTTAAGTTACCTTAGGCTAACAGCAGCCCGACTTACTCAGAGTGTTGGTGCACAGCGACTAGCTTAGCTGGTGAAGACGACTTTGTAAACAGTCCCGGCGAGAGTCGCTTTATGAACAGAGATCATCGGAAAACCTTGCTCGACTATGTCAGCTAAAAACGTCCGCATTCTCTTTTAAGTTGCGCTTTTAAGACGACAGACTCACGAAAATAAACACTCTGCGAGACACAACAACCTCCGTTGTATGTTTTCTCTTTCTCACTCCGTCGCTTTGCTTAGAAGCCTAATGATTGGCTAAAGCTTTTCCCTGGAATAATTTGATTGGTTACTCTAACAGCGGAAACCAGTCGTCAAGATATATTAGAGAAAGAGAAAACAAAGTAACGATTAACCAAACAAGAACGAAAAAATATTTTTGCTGGTGACATAATTACCCTGCAAACAAACAAAAAACAGAGGAAAAACACGGAAAATTCATTTCACTGTTTGTAAAACAAAACAAAAACCTTGTG